TCATAAAATCACGTGGATCAAAAGCAGGCAAATGGTTTAAGGACTATCAGACGCAGCTTTTCTTTCTCTTTTCACCAGCTATGTTTTGGGACCATTCGCTTTGGTGGTTTCTGAGATAATTGCCGAAATTACAAACCCATGATTTTATCCTGCCCAACTTTGGCAATATCTCAAAATCTTCATCTTGAACTTTTAGAAGAACTTTGATAGCGGTTGGATAGCGTAAACAAAGTACAAAGCAATGCAATTTTCTCGCATCTTCAACGCGCTTCTTAGTATTATTTGGGATAACTTTCGAAAAGTCTTCAATTTTTCGAAGTAGCAAATTACATAAGGGCTCCAATCACTAACAAATCGTCGGAATTTCATACTTGCAAAGTTCGATTATGATTATACACTGTCTTTACAAAGCAATACAGCGTTTGTCGCTTCGAAATATCAAATTTGACACTTGATACAGCCTGGGGAGGGTTCAAAACTACTAACTATGATAATTTTATCGCCGAAAATTCCACCAACTGTGTAGGAAAAAAGCCTGCAGGAAAAGAAGAATAAGCTGCATTGAACGACACCTTGTTGCGCGCCGTTTGGTGTTCTGTAAATCTTTGAATGACCAAAAGTGGGATTTGATAGTATCGGAAACATAATTCTGAAAATTTTGGAAAGCCAGCTAGTGATGCCAAAAATATCACTACATTGCACTTTGTTTACGCTATCTAACAGCTATTTGAGCTTTTCCAGAAGTTCACAATGAAGATTTTGAAAAACTGCCAAAGTTGGGCAAACCATGGGTTTGAAACTTTGGCAATTATCTCAGAAATCACCAAAGCAAATGGTCCAATACATGGCTGGTGGAAAGAGAAAGAAAAACTGCAGCTGATAATCTTTAAATTGATAATCTGATAATTATTTGCCTTCCTTTATCCCAGGTGATTTTATGACAGGTTGAAAAAACGGAAAGAACTTTTGTACCGATCTAATATAAAGGGTGAATCACGGACTTGCTAATGACACCTTGGCTTCTCTCAAACTTTACGTGCAGGGATAGAGATGGAAAAAAGAGATTCAAAATCCGGTGATTTTAGGCAAGAGTGTAAAATCTGAAACTTGCAAGAATCCCATTCTGTTACAAGCTTGCTAAACGCAGGAAACGGGAAAATTTATTCATTTTTTGGCATTTTTCTCAAAAATCATAACTTTAAAAAAATCCGATCAGCACAGACTTTGCTCAGTCAGGAAGAGGAGAGCAGAAAACTTATGACGCTGGCTGTTTTGAATTTTGCTTCACACTTTAGACTTTCAGATGGCCTGCCCTAAATCAACGACCTTCAAATCTCCTTTTTCCATTTTTATCTGCATATAAAGCTTGTTTCAGAGTAGCCAAGCTGCCTTTAGAAAACTATGGCTTACCATTTCTAACAAAATCAATGCCAAAAGAATATGGCGGAAGGAAGGAGTCACGTTTTTTTTTTTTGAAAAGGTGAGACGGAACTCTTTTGGACCAAATTCATAAAATTTGGTGGGAACATTACTATTACCCAGGAATAGAATACCAAAGCTGCAAATGCTTCATCATAGCAACTCTCACCTTTGATGTCGTTTTCCTCATCATACTCGGAGAAATACACTAGATTGATTCACCACTTAAAAAAAAACTTTACAAGACTTACGTCTTGCCACTCTTGGAATACGCGTATACACTCTGAATCCTTTTAGGGTGATCAGTAGTAGGACAGCTTGATTTTTTGAAGATTTCTGAAGTTCCTTTCTGATCAACTATAAATAACCAGCAATTTCAGCACCTCACTCCCAACCTTTCGAGCAGCCCTTCGGAGAAATCACACAGAGCTTTTCGAATGCCATCCGAGTTTGCGCTGCACCTCAAATTCTCTGCACATATGACACATCCTTCCAAAGGACTTTCCAGGATCGTTCTGATGGTTACTCAAACGTATAGAATTTCTTCATCATTCTGCATAAAAGAGGCTTATTAGAAAATGTGCGATATACAATACCACTCTCAGAATGTGCAAATTCCCGGAATTCCGCGACATTCACGGAAATTTTGCACATTCTGAGATGGTATTGTTTGGCGCAGATTTTTGGGCTAAAAACCATGTTTTGGCCAAAGCCTTTTGAAAACGACAAAAGCCGAGGTGAGTTGCATATGCTTCGAAAGAGCACAAGAAGCTCTATTAAATGCTAACCATCAAAGGTGAGCTCATCCAATTACTTTGATGAGAGAATGAATGAATGTTCTACAATGCCACCCGTAATTTGTGAAAAAAAAAATGGCGGCGCCGCGTGAGTTAAGTGCCGCCGCCATTTTTTTCACAAATTACGGGTGGTATTGTAATGCTCGATGTTATACCTCTTGTTGTACAGCTTTGGGATAGGCTATCGTGGATTCGTTGACAGTTAACCCATCGTACCCAGTTATTTTTGGTAGACTTACTTGTTTTAGACTGTGCTGTTTGAAGTACAAAATGACTTGAAGACTATTCGATTTTACACCTTTAACATAACGCGATGCGACCGTGCCCAGTATAGACCTCGATCAAAGGGTTTATATGTATGTACTGACATCTGCCAAAACTATTGCATCCAATTGAATTTTCTTGTTTGGAAAAACTGCATTTATCCTCTAGGTACCTCATTACTTTTGTCACTCTAATATTTTTGAAAAGAACTTCTATCAATTTCTGGATGAATTCCAACTCAACCTATCCTAAATCTCTACCTCACACAAGCTAAAGCTAGCTGCTTTGGGATTGAGCGACTTAGGATATAAACGGATCCGTGAACTTCATACTTTACTTTTGCATATTACCGCTGGCTAGATTAAGATTGAGTAGCAAATGGTGAAACTTCAAACCTTGTAGTGATCGTAGTGAAAATTTCTTTCTCTTAACGCTTAGACAGTAAAATTCCATTGGTTTACTTTTCTTACACACCATACAGCAAGATTGCTAAGCCTTTTGCCAATTAAGCTGACTTCCAGCTCTGCTGTTTCGGAGAAAAATATGGACAATAAGCCTTTACAAATTCTGAAAATTGTTGAGGTCTGAAGGATTTGAGAATTTCTCTTTCTAATTGGGTCCTTCTCCTTTTGTATGGCGGATTCGCTCGTCCTAAAAATTTCATTCTTTTGTACGAGTATAGACCGGCGGAGTATCTCTTACTTTGTAGAAAAGAAGAAAGATGTTTGATTCAACAAGAAAATCGCTTCGATTAAAGACATTGCTACGCTGTAGTTGCTTTTTTGCTCATTGCACCTTGGACATATTCTATTATATGATCTTGATCATTCAAAAGTTTTTTGAAGATCGATTATAATGCGACGCAAAAGTGAGGGCCGTCAGTGGTAGTCATAGTATTTCCGTTTGCCATTATTTTTTAAAGAGAGAAAAGCGTTTGTACAGCGATGTATTTATGAAATGATAAATAGATAAATGAATGAATAGATACGTTATAATCGCATATGACTATCTAAAAGCATTTCTACCAGTGGGCAAAAAAAAATCAACCGATTTTCGACTGTAGAGTTCTGACAACTGCTTTTTATAATTATTTAGCACAAGTAAACGAGCAACCAAGTATTGCGCATAATGTAGCCAAGGCAACATAATAGCGCGTTCAAATTTTGTCTACTTCAAGTGGAGCATGGCATAGAAGAGGTCAATAATCGGAAAAAAACTGTTATCGCACAAATTCAGTGAACTCGCGAAGGGTTTGAAACTTTTGTCAACATGTTACCCTTTTTTTTAACAGTTATATAACGTGTCAATCAGTTGTCTTGTTACTTGTTCGGTCCTCGAGTTGAGTTTTGTCAAGCGGATGTAAAGAACGGCTGATATACCAAGACAATGCTCTGCTCTTTAGTAACCCGATCTAAAAAATTAGCCGTTATTGAGTTTATCACCTCTTCCTGGCATCAGTATAGGTCAGGGAGTTCTCATGAGCTGTCTAGCCTAGAAATGCTTTGGGTGCACATCCGCTATTGTTCAGCAACTCACTTCAAGTATCTCAGCCCATCGTTACCTATGATTTCAATTTCAAAGCTAGAATCGACGGTTTCTGTCTCGAGCAAATCACAAAACAATACTGGATGTTAAGACACAGCATTTATGCGCCAGTCATTTCCGACTTTATCTGCAAGCCTTGCGCTCTTTACTGTAATCGACGCCTTTAGAAAAAGCTTTATGGATCACTAGTAACGGTTGGGCCAGCGGAAAGATGGACTTGTGAACTAATACCTGGTAAATATTCAGTCAAACCAACGAAGCTTAAAAGATGAGACATCCTTGGGAATAAACAGGTTCTAGCCTTACAAGACCTTGTAAGTTCCAGCCTTACAGCCTTGTTAAAGTCGTGAAGTAGCTGGGGTGGTGTAGAATATGCAGATTAATTTATGACTCAATGATTTGTTCCCACCAAAAAAAAGAAGGTCACCATTTTGCGGATATGCATAGTAGGTAGCAGGGGAGCCAGTTGCGGTTCGAGCATGATTTTTGCTTCCCCCCTCTCCCCTTTCCCTCGGGAAACAAGTGGTAAATATTAGTTATCAATCATTAGGTGGCCGTTTTCCAAGGGATAAGAAAAATTTCTGTTTGGAATCGAATTGATTATCGAAATTCGGAGGATCAGCTGCAGCCACTCTAAAGGCAGTGTCCCGGCAGATTTTGCACCTCCACTTTTTTGCATGTTTTAGGCCTTTTCGCCACGTAGAATCCGAATTTGAGCTTTGAACGGGCTGAAAGCCTATGACACCCGCCGGGGCCCGAAGTGTATGTATGCCAAGTTTGGTCCCGATCGGTTCAGAAATGGAGTTTTCTATTCGGAACATACGTACACACAGACAGACATACAGACAGACAGACAGACATACAAACAGACATTCAGCTTTATATATAAGATTAAAGACCTCTGTGATCGAGTGAGTAGCGTTTGCGGTATCCTGTGAGTTCGCTCATATTATATCCACTATAAATGGCACTCGATGATGCAAAAATGTTTATCGGCAACAGACAACGTTATTTGTTCACATCTCCACAATATTTGCTTCTTTCATTCGTCGTGAACGTTGTCAGAAAATGGCTTCTTAGGACGATTCCTCCTCTTCTGAGGGTGGTTTCTTGCTTTCTCCAGAATCAGTAAGCGGGCAGACTCCTACATAAATGTAAATATGAGAAATTATGGCTTAGAAGTTATTTTTTTTTTGATTTGATGTCTACACGATAGAGGTTGACGGGCGTCAATCTTAGTGAGCGGATTTGAGGCTTTTGTTTTTACTCTGCTTTCGTTCTTAGACAGTATTCAAAAGTTCTCGTAACAGTCTTCACTCTTAACTTTGCGGTATTGTAGTGTTACTCACCAGTCTCATCGCAAATCCATTTCAGTTTCTTTCGCACATCGACGAAATAGCCTGAAACAGCATAGGCAGGCTATCGTACAAACTTTCAAAGCCCAACTTTTCGACATTTCTAGTAATTCCTGCTTACTCTTCGGCAAACTCAAAAATTTCATCGAATGAATGAATTTCGAGTAAGTTTGAGAAGTAAAATTTTCGAATGAACGAATATCGATTATATTTAAACATTGAGGTCGAATCTCGAACAAATGTTCAGTGGTTTATCTATTAGGTTGTCCGGAAAACAATGTCGCTTTTTATTTTAACATGCAAAATCGTGGCAGAGTGAGCACGAAAGTAAGTAAATGGGGCACCAACCGATAGATCAAAAGAAGCTCTACAAAATGGAGCACGAGCCTTTGCGCCAGGTTTGATTTGCGTGAAGTTTGGAGCCAAGTTTTACAAGGCACTAAAGATCTAAAAAAAGGAAAAAAATCATATTACTGTTCAGAAAAGTCCTGGGAACCCCTAACTTGCTCAGGCGTGGACTCACTATACGAGACACACGTATGCACATTTTTGCGGTTTTTCTATGCCTGAAAATTGAGAAAATGAAATTCGGCACTTTTTTGCCAAAACAATCCCGAGCTTCTCTCACTGATTCTGTAGCATGAATCTTTAGGAGTATAACCATGAATTTTGAGCTTTAGACAAGCACTAGTTTTCGAGAAAAATCAAATTGTTTGCAAAAAACCCGAAAAACGCGACATATTCGCACTTTTGACCTATTTTTGTTTCTCGTACTGTAGCCAAGGAAAAATACCACAAACTATATAGGTGAATGTCTAGTGTAGAGAGTACATGGTTATGCAAATTGGAGATCCATAAGACGTCTATGAACCGAGATACGATTTTTCGGATATCTAAAATTTTTTACATTTTGGATTCGAACTTCAGGTGGAGCACGATTTCCGCGTAGGTTTGTAAACTATCTTGTAGAGCTTGCTTTGCTCTATCAAATGACACCCCACTCGCTATTTTTTATGGTCATTCTGTCGCGATAGGATGCCATGCGACATTATTTTCCGGACAACCTAATAAATGGCAAAACATCTGAAAATCATTCGCATATAATATTGTTTTTATTCGTTCGCACATTTTCCAAAAACTCATAACTCTTATATTTCCGAATTACTTGCACATAATCAATAGTTTAGAAAAAAAGTAGCCATGCCTCTACAGTAGCATCAAACGATCTCCTATCACCCTAGAATGCAAAAAATACGCTGTAAAGTTCTCAAGTTCCGATTTTTCTGTGTAGTTGTCAGTAATCTAGAACTCGCAAAATCGAAGTAGTTAGTATCATAGATCTCGAGCCTCTTTTTACTACCTGCGCGAAGTTTGTGCTGCTTGAGGGTTTCTATCAAAAGTTATGATTTTTGGGGAAAATGTTAGAAAAACCAAATTTGTCGTTTTATATTGTGCTCAGAAATAATAACTTTTTGTAGAAGAGCTCAATCAAAACGAAATTGCTAAGCTAGAAAGAGCAGATACGAAAGTTATAAAATCAGCTGCTTCGATCTTCAAGGAGAGTTTGAGATTTTCAACGAATCCACACAAAAAACTGAAATTTGAGTAATCTTCTTCAGCAGCTTCGTAATAGTTGATTCAAAGGTACTGTCGCTTTGAAATTTGAAAAAATTGATAACCGCTCTCTATGTGAACGTACTGATTTACGAAAAATACTTCCACATTTTCTTATCCTCGATGCTCTTTGACGATAGAAGACTCCAGAGATGAAAATTGGAGTAGGAAGGCTGCTTAACTTCGCGATATTCGAGATTAAATCGTAAAAAATCTGAAGAGCTGTAGAAAAACTGAGAGCATGAGGTTCTGTGTTTTGTTTTTTTTTCATAGGTTTTGTGAGCTGCTCTTTCTAATGGAGCCAAGATTGTGCGAAACGACTTTCTTTCAAAAAATTATGATTTTCGTGAAAAATGCAGAAAAATGCAAAAAACGCCATTTTTGCCGTTTTTTGCATTTTCCACGAAAATCATGACTATTTAAAGGAAAGCTCGATAAGCAGAAACTTAGCACTCACAAGAAGAGCAGCTCACAAAATCTATGAAAAAAAAACAAACAACCTCATGCTCTCAGTTTTTCTGCAGCGTTTTTTTTGACGATTTATTTTCGAAAACTGAAAATAGTGATTATCGTCGAAAAGTAGCGAAGACGCTATTAGAAAGTAGATGAATTCTTCTATCTGGAGGGTTTTTTGATTTCAGTCTCTATACAGGAGCTGTTACGAATTTTTCAGAATCAAAGCGACATAAAATTTGAATCAACCTAACAGAAGGAGTTTAGGTGTTACAAAGTGCATGATTTTTTTAGAACAATTGACTACGTGCAAATCCTTCGGAAAAATAAGAAATTACAAATTTTTGAAAATGGTGAGAACAAACTTTTAGAACGATCTAATATGAATATTCGACTGATTTATTCGAACACAGAAGAACCATATCCAAAATTCGCTGACTTATGCTTACTCAAACTCTTATAAAGGAATCCATATATTGGCTCATTTTCGAAGTGAAAAAGGAGCAAAAATATTTGGTTGGTATTTGAGCCTCGACAAAGGATTTCTTTGCAGTGTGTTACAATACAATCTAGATCGACAAAAGGGCACCATTCAATAGAGCAAATCAAGACACTGATTTAGCCAAATATAGAATGGGCATTATTCTTAAAGACTTTCGGATCCCGATCTCGCCTGGCCATAGGTTCAAGTTGGCCCGGTGTAGTACAAAATGGTCTGAAGCATTCAACAACTTACCCTACTTCCGTTTACTTCCTTTTGTTATGGTCTATTCTCGCAACCTACCGTCATGGCTTACCCTCACAGTGCCTCTCTTTCTTCAAATTTTCCTGCTCCGATTTCGAGTCTGCACTGCGCACCTGTGTTCTCTGTATGAATTTGTCTTTTCCTGGCTTTGGAATACCACTTCCTCCCCATCAAGAAGTAAGCGTTATGACCCCCTTCTCCAGATTGTGGATTTTTTGTAGAAGAACAAATTTCTGTCCTATGAAATTGAAGGCGTATAGCACATATACTTATCAACACATACAAACTAAGATGTATATTGATTGAAATCAACTACGAGATTGTTTGCCTAAATCTTTACGAATTTAAACTGGCCACTCCAGGCTGGTAATTTTTTATTCGCTTCATCGAAAATCGGAATCAAACTTGTTCGCTTGATTATGCACTGCACCGAAACCAATACCTGTAGTTTACTGGAAAGCCTGCTTAAGTTTTTCAAATGCGGCTTTGAAACAGCTGTTTTGGATTCTGCATCGCTAAACATCGATCGACCTACCTACAAACTCCTTTGCAGGTGGCTTCGTAGATTTCGATGTTATGCCAACAAGATAGTATTTCCCTCCTCGTACCTGAAGCAATGGCCCACCACTGTCTCCCTAAAAAGGAAGACTTATCTAGTGACTCGGCTTATTTATCACTCAACTTTATTACGGTTTCTTTTTTTACGAGATATCACTGTTTCTTTTAACGAGAACGAAAGAGCTCTGACAAGACTTCTGCATATTCTGCGTTTTTCTTGAAAGCACGCAGGTTTTCTGGAAATTAGGTGTCTTGCTTCAACTCACATGGAGTGTTGATTCATTCCTACGGTTAGTATACGCCAAGAGTGTATCTTTCATATCGGGGTCTTCATTTACGCTTTCGTAAACCACGGCTTTTATAGAATAATCGTTACCTAAAGTCAGAACTTGAACAAATTCAGATGGAAGTTGGAAATATACAGACAATCTGTTAGGATTGGTATATTAAATTGAAACAGCAGGCAGTTGGCACGAGCTGAGATCCGGGAGTCTTTAGATGGCATCCTCCGGTGATTTCGCGGAACTTAGGACCTTCCCTGACCTTTTTTATACCCCGCGCTACTTCTTGGATTGCAAATGAAGCAGACACTGAATAAACATTTATAGGCAAGAATAGATCGAAAGAAAGGTAAGCGTCAATGAACACCGAACATCATTGAAACTGAGGCATCGCCTAGGGGTACGCTTTGCTATACTCTGATGTCTTGGTTATGAAGAGAGTAGAGGAATTACTACGAAATCGTTTCGTGCTAGTATGAAATGTCTCAATGAAGTTTCTGTCATGGCAACGATCTATGAAAAACCATGAAAAAGTACGTGAGCAAAAGGTAGTCAGGTCCAGCTTAGCTGGTTCTCACAATCAGATGAAAAGGGGAAAAATTAGGCACCACTTTTCAGTCAAATTCAGAAAGTTTTTTAGCCATATGAAATTTTCTCACGCGTATGTCCACAACAAATGGTTTGTACCACTGATTCTTCGTTCCATACATGCATTTGTTTATTCAGCACACAATTCGAATTACTACGCGGTGTGAGTTTGTGTCAAGGTAGTCTTCGTTTTGACCTGCTTTAGCCGGCAAGGGATTTTCTGAATGGTTTCTAACGTAGGGTTCGGAGATGGAGTTTCCTACAAGAATTATCCTCCCTCTCCCTCTCCCCCCCTCCCCCCCTCCCATTGCTTATTAGTTTCCCACAATGACAAATGCGCAGTGAATTTACGTACACAGGCGCTAAACAAGTTCGCTTTGTACTTACTATAATTTCCGTATCCAATGGATATAAGCCTTTGAGGAATGATATCATGCTCTTGGGGCATACAAATAGGCTTGAAATCTGGTATGTCCTGCTCGAGCTCGATCATACCCATATCATATGTTGTTCTCTTGTCACAAAATTCATCCACGTCGAAGTTTTGGTGTTTATGTACCTGCACAAACAGTGTCATCTTAGTATTGCGATGTATTAATGTCGGGTTCTATCAGTGGAAATCAGCTTCACTTACAACTGCTACTTTGGCAACATCCTTCCCCATCCAGCATTCCTCAGTACTGCAGGAACTTTGAAAAACACCAACATTTTGGGCGGGAGTTTCTTGTAAAGCCGATCTAGAAAGAGTTCACGACCGCGAAAAAAAAGGAGATAAGTCGAGATGTACCTTTGTTTACATGTCTCCTTTTCATCCATGACTAAGCAATGTGCGGCGGTCAGAATGTGGCGAGATGAAATCAGCACGCCGCTACATAAAGGTGGGCTATGGGACCCATTATCTGAAAGTCAAGATTGACTTGCTGTTGCAATTGCAAGCTTGGGTAGATATGCTATGAAAGCCACTGACCAGTCCAGGACGTAGCGAACACAAAGGGATATTTTAATTGGTTTTCTCGATATCGCTTGTACACGTTGGGTGCCACTAAATCAAGGCACATTTATTTATTACAATAAATCTCAACTAAGGTACAATAAAAATAAAATGTTTTTAACCTTTACGGCAGGTTTCCAGCTAAATGCTTACCAAGTGACACAACCGTCAGTTTCAGATGAGTTGTTTATGACTGCTACGTCGTGTTAGATGATTGTACTTTTTGTAAGATGCTATTGCTGCCTTGCGGACTTTTCAAGCTTTGGATCGGCAAAGTTGCGCTTTCACTTCGCCTATGCGAACTAGATTCTCCAAGTGCATCAATTAACAGGAAAATCTCCAGAATGGTGTGTGCTTTGCAGCTTGTGTAGGAGAAACAGCATTTCCACATTCAATCATAGTTACTATGCAAAATCGATTTTTATACTTTATCTAAAGCTCCAGTACGCACAAGTAAATGCAAGAAGATTTCTTTTGTCAAGTTCTGCGATGACCGACTCGCCAATAACTGTAATAATCTGCCCGATTTTGCGACAAGTAATTTTGCGATGCTGTCTTTGTTACCTGCAAACTTGCTGCACCTTTTCTTCAGCTTCAAATTCTCTTCTTCAGTAATTTTGCCCGCATGTGCTGCTTGAAGGAGGAAAAACAACCAGAGTATGGTCATCTGAAGACAAGTTTGACATTTTTTGCATTGCGAGATATTGAATCTTGCTATGGCAGCAAATCAAAGTCTGATACATTTTTATCATTTGAGGCGATTTATTTACGAAGAATTAAAGTGGTATCAAATCCTTCCTCAATTTCTTGAAAAAAAGACAGTTGAGATCAGATTTGTTGCTGGTTACCATTAACTGTTTCATCTGGTCTGATCAGTTTTGTTCTATTTATGTCACCTCATATCGGATCGTGTAGAGGGTCAAATACCGCCAAAAGACGTCGCCTCCGCGGATTACTGATCCTTTCCCATATTTATTCCTTGCCCCGCAAGGATCAGTAGTCCGAGTTGGAGTTGGAGTTGGCGCCTATCAGAATTAAACAGCTATAGGCATTTTTGTATAGCTATACTCAAACTAAAAAAGGAGCACGATGGGAGTAGCTCGTATTTGAACATAGTACCTACAGAAGAAAGCTGCGTTTTTCTTCATCAAATAGTAACTGGTTTTCTTAAGTACACAAAGTGTTAACTTATAAATAATCAAAAAGTGAGAGGACACAAAATCTATGAAATTAAAGAGGAAGCTTGAGCTGATTGAAGATAATGTGGAGGAAGATGGTGAGTGGCTTTTATACGGCTTTTTTGACTCATTTTTAATATTTTTTCCCATTTCACTCTCTAAAAAATGTCAAAAGCAATGCTTCCACAGTTTCATCACCAAACAAAACTTTTACCAGCTATCTCAGCTACTCAGATATACATCAAATGGCCATATTTCGGCGTTCTCTCATTGTCTGATCTCTCATCAGCGACTCAGAATATTGTGTTTCAATTCTTCCAATATATGCAGTGAATCATGAGCTTCAAAAACATCTTGTGCCGAGAAGGCTTAATCACACTAGGATGTTCACCTTTTCTCTCCGCACTTTATTACATTCGTCATCACTTCATGATATCATATGCTCGAAGTTTTTCACTATTGTATTCCTTGCCCATTCTTCTAAATGTATCACTTGGGTTTATCAACGTTATGCGATGTGCTACTAGTGTGCTTGTGCCTAAACACTTTCTGGACATAGATTTCTGGTGCTGATATCCAAAAAACAAAATACTCTGCAGAGAACACATTCATTGATAAAATCTTGCGCTATAATATTAGCACAAAATCTCTCGTTACTTCAACTCGGCAATGAAATCGACCTTCTAACTATGCTATTATCTAAGCCACATTGCATGATTTCTCGTTCAGAGAAAATGCTCAGATGGAACGGTCCAAAAGCATACCAGACTCATCGCCCAAAAAGACGGTTGCAGGTAGTCGTCCTCGCGACCTGCGTATCTAAGATTTTGTTATTGCCAATCCACCTTACAGGGCTCCCCACATGCTAAGCAGCGACCTTCTGTCGCTCATCATTCGCAGCCTTGTCGCTTGCTTCCGTAGTTTGAAGGCATTATCCCCACGGATTGGGCGTGGTGAGAGTTTGGTGCGGGACAACGGTCGGATCACAAAAGCGCAAATTTTCGCAATAAATCCATTGCGAAAGGTAGATTCCGCAGCGCGAAAATCGCTTAGGAGAACGAATGCGGTATTAGTGATTTTGTGATTTTGACCATCACCAAAGGTGGCAATGAGTTTAAAGAACTAGGCTCCAGAAGTACCTATGAAGCCAAAATATGAGTCTCCCATCCATGTTCACATTTCCACTATTCGCTGATCGCATGAACTGCTCAAACGCTGCGGATCATTTTCGGCGCGGTTGAAATGTTTCGAGAGCACGATTTGTGCAATGGCGCATTTGTACTGGGCAGGGCTCGGCACGAGGTGGCTAGTTGAAAACGCAAAAAACGAAGTCCTCCTTGATATTTGCGAATTACGAAGTCCCCTTTGACCCTCAACCATATACCCTTTAAAGGCGTAAAAACCTCCAAAAAGCGAAACGTCGAAAAAAAACGTCGCAGTTTTCGTGTATCTTTGACCACAAAAACAAAACCACCTCTGCTTTTCGTCCCAAAATGATATCCAGCTTGCTTATAAGCCACCTGTGCCGAGCGCTGGTACTGGAGTAAGCGTTTTACCTCGCGGCGCGTGCTCCGCAGTCATGTCGGTCCGTGCGGTCAACGAATCGACTATAGTCATTTTGAAGCCAATCGCGGACTCAAGCCTTGTAAACAATTGATTGTCCAGCCTGTGGCGCAGGATTTTACGTCACAACCAACTTTGGTAAAGGCACTGCTTTTGGAAATCTTGTCTAGACAAAACGACTTTTCGAGGATGTTTACGCGAAGTAGCATGCTTACTCAAACTCCTCACTCGATCTGATTACGCGACTCTCCGATAAAAAAGTGCAATTTTTCTTGTAAATTTCACATCGAACGAGATATCCGTTACTCCACTGTGTGCATCTCACTTTAACACGCAAAACGCATGCAAGGGCTGCGTCTCTGCACCTAGGCGTCTTGTTCTACATCCCATTTGTTAGTCTTTAAGAAGACTGATCTTCGGTCTTTTTACGCGCTGTAAGTCCTAGTTCTTTGGCTTTCAAGATCGCATTCGTTCCTTTTTTGAGCTGCAATATATTGAGAAAGGACAGATTTAAGGACAGATTCGAGAAAGATGAAGACGAAGGGTTTGCTTTTATACTAGCTACACTAATCCTTTGATATAGTTATAAGAAATGAGCAACTTTTCAAACCGCAGTATGATTTTTTTTGTTTATTTGAAACTGTCTGAGAGATTAGCTAAGAATATGCGATTATAGCGTTGTGCTCAACTATAATCTTCTTCTGGTTGCTGCTGACTATTCTCCAGTGGAATAATAGACGAGCCGTCACAGTTTGAACTTGTAGAAGATATGTGGTGAAGCATATATGCATAGTTAGCAACAACCAATAAAAGAATAGCGATAAACTCCATACTTGCACAGTTTCGCATAGTTGTCCCCCTCAAGGTGGCGTCTGAAATGTATTTTTTCCTGAATCGCTGAATACCAATCGCAACTCTGATTATCAGGTCAAAACCCGATCAAAGTCACAGCAGGATTAAATGTTCTCTTTATCTCATCGGGTGGACAAAGCTTGCGGTAAAAGGGAGCACAACACATATGCACAATTATGTAGAGGTTTCTCAAATATATGACTTCTAAATCGCTCTTCAGCGAAAGTTTTTTTTTTGAAAGTCTGCTCTTGATTACTTGTTTTGATGAAATCACACATAAAAGTGACAACATTCTTTGAGAATTTGCGATGAATCTAATTTTCTTCACTGGTTCTAAATCACTGAAATTGCGTAGGCAGTGTCATAGTCTATTTGAACGGATTTTCATCGTAAAATTCGGCTATTTACATGGATATGCACACAGTACTCCATAGTGTACGTTTCTCATACGTAAAAGAAAAACCGAAGAATGGTGACGTAACCAAATTGAAATTCTGAGTCCGTTGAACCATTTTTGACAGGATGACATGCGACGCGTCTCGTCTCTATCTCTCTGTATACTTTCGTTTTGCTGTGCTTGCAACCTCTTTATTTTGTTTTCGGTGCTTCTTTGGATAATGTAACGACTTAATTTAGTGTGAGAGTAATCCAAATTTAACAGCGTAGCACAAATGTCTCTCAATGATTTGCTGCGATCTTGACCTGATTGACTTGATTCATCTTCATCGCCCACTTAAAGGCTGCTGCATGACGAAGGCGAACGCCCGCTGAGCTCATACTGCTCACTCGCATCTTCACCATTGTAAACTCTGTGCCTCGTGCGTTCTGCGGCTAATGGAACCGCTTTCGCGCTCAAATATATTGCGCCTTCGTCGTGCAGCAACGTATACTTTGGAACTCTTCAGCCTCAACTAACTACGTAGCAAGTGGCTTTTGACTACTAGTACAGCAATGAATAACCAGAGCCCGAGCAAACACAAAAGAACATTTGGGCTTCTACCCAATAAGCCCCCCACAATGGTAGGCAGCCATCGTGGCGTGGGGGTGACACTGGCTGTCAAACTACAATGCACAGCCGAGTCTATACTCTGGTATGGCCTCCCAAGCTGTGTAGGAGTTCGACGCTTCCGCTTTCGGCCGGATGCCTAGCTAAGAGCCGGCCTGACCAGATCTTCCGCCGTTTGGTTTTTCTGGTCACTAGGCGGTTCTCCCCGCTCCACACCCGGGTCAACGATCGCCCTGTGGAAATCAAGAGTAGGCCTGGTAAGTCTGCTCTTGTAGGGGAAAAACTTCATTACTCCGCCAGTTAGAAGAATAGAAAGAAACCCTGCACATCGTACCCCGCCTACGGCGCCGGGTGGTAGCAAAAACGATGTCAGGGTCCTCAGGGCAACTTTTGGATTGGGTACAAACGAGACGTCTGCCCGGACGGTACGCCATGGAGACTGCTTCATGCTCTGCACCTACAACGCCAAGACAGTCTCCACAAACGCCGACCTTCACGCTCTTCTCAACGCTGCGGAGCACATTAAGTACCATGTCATCGCTCTGCAGGAAACGAAGTCCAGGAAGGATGACGTGCGACAGATGAGTGATAGGACCCTCATCATTCGTGGTGAGAAGGTTCCATCACGAGATGTTGGAGGCGTTGGCTTTGTCGTCCACCCATCTATCGTCCATCTTGTCGATTCGCATGAGATCTTATCACCTCGACTAGCCATCCACTACGACCTCCACGTCGGAAAAGACCATCAACATCATCAACTGCTACCCTCCAGCATCAGCAGCTGACGACACAGAACTAGATACTTTCTACGAAGACGTGCAGGAAATCGCCCGCAACATAAAACCTTCTACAAGTATGTTGTGGATGACATCAATGCGAAAATCGGGGCCACTAGAGAAGGAATATAGGGTCGGGGAGTTTGGATATGGGCTCCGAAACGACGTCGGCAATCGTCTCGTGGCAGAGGTTCTGCTCTCCTGATCTACTGCCTGATCTACTCCATTCTGCTGATCTACTGCCTTTAACAGGAGAAGAAGAGCAGCATGGACCGCCTTCCGGCCTATGAATGAAACC